GCAATGCTTGGTAAGAAATGTATGCATTATCCTGCCCATGTAATTGTAACCCCTCTGTACAGTATGTTCACAAATAAAATAAAATAAAATTAAAAAAAAACATAAATAGTGAAAATGACAAATATCACAGGTACATGATATAGGAACATCTTCATTGAATCCGCCATATACACTTGGAATCAAACAACTGATAGTTGATACATGGTTATGTTTTTTTCATGAATACAATATCCAGATGTGTTTAAACACTAAAATGTAATAACTTTATGTTTGATTCTAAAATAATTTACTTCTAGATGAACCTTTTTGAAAAATTTTACCAAACAGAATCATCTTCAGTGCTTTTCTGAACCATGGATAGAAAAATGCATAAACCATTGGATTGAAAGTGGAGTTGAGATACCCAAGCCAAATCAAGGCATCACTGAAAGTGGGTGGAATAGCATGGTCCAGGAAAGGATCTATGACTGTGCAGACAAAGAAAGGGCACCAGCATATCAGGAAAACGCCCATCACAATCCCCAAGGTTTTTACAGCCTTCCATTCTTTGCTTTGTGGCATTCCATTTTTCTTTTCTAATCTAATTTCAAATTTCTTATTTCTATCATGGATGGATCTTGCCTGCCCATTAGCTATGACATATATCCTACAGTAGAAACACAACATAATAGACCCAGGTATATAGAAAGAAGTCACAAAAGCCAATGCTGCAGATATTTTGCTAAAGAAGACAGAGCAGGCTCCTAGGCAGTAAATGTGCTTGCAATACACCTCTTCAACTCCCCTGATGTTCAGCTCTAGAAAGATCATCCCAAATGCAAACACAGCAGGGACACTCCAACTAATGAAGATCATCGCAGAAATAACCGAGATACTGATTCTAGCTTTGTATCTCAGTGGGTCACACACAGCATAGTAGCGGTCAATGGAAATGAAGGACAGGTGGAAAATGGATGCTGAACTCAGCATAATATCGGTGCTGGTGTGGATTTTACAGAAGATTTCTCCAAAATACCAACAATGTTCAATAGATCTCACCATGCTATAAGGCATGACCAGGCAGCCAAGCAGGAAATCCACAGTGGCCATGGAATGAATGAGCAAATTCGTGGGTGTATGAAGCTGTTTGAAATGTGATATGGAAATAATAACTATCAGATTGCCCATCAATGTGGTCAGGATTATGAGCACCATTAAACTGTACAAGGATGCACGTATATCTCGTGGCAAATTACTTTTCACGCAGGAAATATTGATATTATAGCAAGAAGGCATCATTCCTGAAAATGCTCCGCCAGTTCACTTTTCCCTCTGTGTGTTGAATAATCTTTCTTCCAAATCCATAGTTAGAGTTCTTTCTTTGGATTTGTTTTTATTTGCATATGCCTACTCCAGAAATCTGAGAACAAAAAAGAAAAGAAAAATGAATAAATGAACAGCAATTTTTCGACAGTTCTAAAGGTTGAATTCAGGGCCTAATGCTTACTAGGCAGATATTCTACCACTTGAACCAAGTACTCAGTGTTTTTGCTTTCTTTGTTTTTCAGATAAAGTCTCATATTCTTGCCTGAGCCGGCTTTGGACCGTGATTCTCCTTGCTCTTCCTCTCAAGAACCTGGGACTATGGGTGGATAGCACCATAAATTTACTTATTCTTGTTGAAGAACAGTTATTTGGGGGGGGACAAAAACACTTTTATTTCCAAGTTCAGCTTAATAGTTCAAAAAAATTTTAATCTAATTGGAGCTAGACTTTTACTAAAATATAAAGACAAAGCATTAGGCTAAAGTATACAACACTGTCAAATTTACAATTCACAGAGAAAGTCAAATTATGGTTATTACCATATGCTTTAAGCTATGAAAACAGTTTCTCTAAGAACCTAGAATCTAAGGGTGCAACTTACATTCTAAAGGGCATATATAAATTGCCAGAGTGTTTAAAATTAAAATATGTTAGCAATAAGTGAAATGGTAATGAGGTGACTGTGACCCAGGTACAATGTATATAAGAAATTAACATAATGAAAGTCATTATTTTCTAAAGCTAATACCTAGCAATAATTTTTTTTCTAGCATGCAGGATGCTAAGGTAGGAGGACGGCAAAACTTAAGCCTCAGCTGCATAAAGATATCCTGTTTGAAAAAGAAAGGAAGAGCCAGGCACCAGTGGCTCACACCTGTAATCCTAGCTATTCAGGAGGCTGAGATCTGAGGATCACGGTTCAAAGCCAGCCCAGGCAGAAAAGCCCAGGGCATTCTTATCTCCAACTAACCACCAGAAAACAAGAAGTGGTGCTGTGGCTCAAATGACATGGCTCTCACCTTGAACTGAAGAGCTCAGGGGCAGGGCCTAGGCCCAGAGTTCAAGCCTACCACCACTAAAAACAACAACAACATGAAGGAATATTTTAAATGTGACCACTTTTGTACTTGGTCATAGATATTTCTTATCTTACACTTGATTGTAATGAAAAATGTTTACATACCTGTATTTCCCGTTTGCAAAGCCTTTTGTATTCCATTCATTTTTTCATTTAGTGCTTTACTGCACATGTGTAAAAACATCATTCCTTGTAAGGAGACCAAAGCATATTCTGGCAGCCTCATTTTCCAAGCAACAAACTGAAGCTTAGTTAATCAAATGATTAGAGTGAATATTTTATCTGAAGTCTCCATTACTTTCTTTTATCAACAGTCCAGTTGTTCTTTGCAGGGCAAGAAATCATCTAAGCTAAATTAAAGCACTGCATGTTTTTCATTGGATTTATGATATATTAAATAATGACACACATATTAAAGGATCATATATTCCATCTATTTACAGTATTTCTGATGTGCAGATCAAAGTCTAAGGTAAGAAGGGATGCCACATAGACAAAAGCACCCAAAATCAGGGATGTTGCGCTTCATTGTGGAGACTATGAGGAGACTGTGAGCATGCACAGTCACAGGCACTCTGCTTTTGTATTTCCTTAAGCTGTCGATCGCATCAGACTTTACCTTCATGCAGACACTGGTTGCTCATGTCTATAATCCTAGCTACTAAGGAGGCTGAGATATGAGGATCACAATTTAAGCCAGCCTGGGCAGGAAAAGCCATGAGACTATTATCTCCAATAAACCAACAGAAAACCAGATGTGGCACTGTGGTTCACATGGTAGAGCGCTTGCCTTGAACTGAAGAGCTGAGGGACAACTCCCAGGCCCAGAGTTCAAGCCCCACGACAAACAAAACAAAACAAAATTTGCTTTTGTGAGTTGTGAATACAGTGAACACCTGTACTTCCAGAGCTGAGGAGGTAGAAACAGAGAGTTCCAGGCCAGCCTGACCTAGATAGCAAATAAACAAACAAACAAAATTTTTATTGAATCTCAATTTATAAAATGAGTGATAGAGTCAGGTGCCAGTGGCTCATGCCTGTAATCTTAGCTACTTAGAAGGCTGAGATCTGAGGATTGTGATTCAAAGCCAATCCAGGCAGGAAAGTCCATGAGACTCTTACTGCCAATAAACCACCAGAAAACCTGAAGTGGCACTGTGGCTCAAGTGGTAAAGTGCTAGCCTTGAGCTGAAGAGTCAGGGACAGCACCCAGGCCCAGAGTTCAAGCCCCACGACTGACAAAAAAAAAAAGAAAAAGAAAAAAATGAGTGAAAGAAAAACAGATATGTCATCTCCTCCTATCTCACTAAAGAACCCCAAAGTTGTACAGGCCTCAGTTAAGATACCTCTTTTAGAATTAGGATGGCTCAAGTGGTAAGGAGCTGCCAAGCACGTACAAGGACTTTAGCTCACTCTCTAGCACAGAGAGAGAGAGAGAGAGAGAGAGAGAGAGAGAGAGATGTTCCTTTTGTTTCTACCTGATTCTATAATTCAAAGCATGTGTGTCTCTGTGTGTGTGCATGGTATTCTGTATATTTATATACATATCACAGATAGATAGATAGATACATGCATACATACATACATACGAAGGAAAGTTACTGGAGGATTTGGAAGGGGCAGGGAGAACGGGAAGGAAGATGAAGGGAGAAAGAGTGAAAAGGAGAGGGGCTGGGAAGATGGCTCAGTGGTAGAGCGCTTGCCTTGTGTGCATGAGGCCCTGGTTTGATTCCTCAGCACCACATAAGCAGAGGCACTGTGGCTCAAGTGGTAGGGCGCTAGCTAGCCTTGAGCTGAAGAGATGAGGGACAGCATCCAAGACCAGAGTTCAAGCCCCACAACTGGCAAAAAGGAAAAGAAAAAGAAAAAAAGAAGAGGAGGAGAGAACAGAAGACAAGAGAACCTATAGGAAAAGTATGCTTCTGGCAATAAGAAGTCCCATAGCCTCTCACTGAATTGTCAGAATGCTACAACATAGCAATATTTCTTAGAATTTCACTATTCTGCCTTCCTTTTCATTTTCCTCCTCTTTTCCCTGGGCTGATACCTTAAATAAAGATCACATTGAAACCCAAACTAGAATTGAGTGAATATAACTTTTAGGTGTTAAAATGTTTATTTAACAAATTTGAAACATTTCTCTGTCCTCTCATAACTTTTCTCCTTATTAGGAAACATATTTATGCCAAATAAATCTTCATTATTTATTTGAATAACCAGGTTCATTCCATAATGGAGCAAGTAGCACACTAAAACTGGTAAGCTGTTTCAACTAAGCAATACTTAAATTGTAATTAAAATCTCACCAAGACAAGAATGGTTTTTCTTATGAAATTTAGTATGAATTTATCTGAAGTGTCACTTGGGCTTTTTTCCAACTATTTCCCCCATTTTCTTTTTTTGGTCCTGGGCACTGTCCTCAGCTCTTCAGCTCAAGGCTAGAGCTCTACCACTTGAGCCACAGCACCACTTCCAGCTTTTTCTGCTTATGTGATGCCTCATGAATGCAAGACAAACACTCTACCATTGAGCCACCTTCCCAGCCCCTCCTCCATTTTCTTCATTTTCTTGGTTTTGGTATAGCCAAGGAACCAAGAAAAAAAACAAAAATTTCTTTTCAGAAATGTTTGCAAGTGCTGGTTGTCAAAAAAACAAAAAAAAAACAAAAAACTCACAACTATTCAATGTCATATTAAGGACTGTCTGCAGAAAGTTGAATTTAAAAGGAAGGGCAGAAAGCAATCTGACAACTTTGTGTGTCTTAGATTAAGAATTAATCTAATTGTTTAGTCCATTCCCAAAGAAAAACCAAAATGAGGGGCTGGGAAGATGGCTCAGTGGTAGAATGCTTGCCTTGCATGCATGAGGCCTTGGGTTTGATTCCTCAGCACCACATAAGCAGAAAAAATAAGCCGGAAGTGGTGCTGTGGCTCAAGTGGTAGAGTGCTAGCCTTGAGCTGAAGAGCTGAGGGACAGCGCCCAGGCCCAGAGTTCAGGCCCACGACCGGACCCAAAAAAAAAGAAAAACCAAAATGACTTAGAGGCAGCTTCACATCTCTATTTGATTAGCTTGGTTTCAGAAGAAAAAAAAAGCCCTAAGTATGGTAGCTTAGAAATTGTTGATAATGTTGCTCGCACTTTGGCAGAATATGTCTGACCGACTTAAATTACAGTGTGTGTGAGGTTTTCTTTAAAAAATGTGTGATGATTTGCTTTTAGGAAGATTTATCATTAAAATCAGTGCCTTATGACATTATAAATTGAATGTGTATTTAAGAAAGAACGTACCAAAAATAATGGCTCTGTTTCATCCTTTAAAATTTCAGCTAACTAGAGATGATTTTAATCTGACAACACAAATTATCTAGGCTGAACATACAATGGTAAGATGGAAAGCGAATACATTTCTGTTTGGCCACCTGCTAAGCCCACAATTCTGTGAAATGACCTAATCAAGATGGATCAGTGACCCCTCCTGTGGGAGTTGTCCTTCACAGAGTTGCCTCTTCCTTTCTGCCTGGCATGCTAGGATTATAAGGAGAACATGTGAACAGCTAAATCATCTTTCTTAGATTCACAGAAGCCAGGACCTCTGGTGATCTTCAGAAAACGTGAGAACGTGTAGCACCTCTCTTCATTCTTTAGTCCCATGCCTCAACTAACCCAAAGCATATAAATCACTATAATATTTAACTTACAAAAAAGTCATATGTTTGTCTAAAAATTACAGAAACCATCCCGAGGTCAAAGTCAATTGCAATGTTTCAACTAGGAAAAATAATAAGACACTCCCACAATGGCAATAACCCTGTCCATCTCGTCATTTACTTATCTAATGCCAGCTCCTCCCTGTCTCCAGAGACACCCTTCCACAGGCATGAACTGCCGAAGAGTC